AAAAAGCTATATACTATTCAACCCTATCCGTTGCGGGGCGAGACAGGCGGGGCGGATCCGACCCGCAACTCTGGCCTACATTCGAATAATTGACATAAATCGAATCCAATTTAAACCATTTTTTTTTCTAGATCGATTGTGATTTGAGTATTCAAATCCCGGTAAAATATTCAAAACTAGGAAAAAATACTTATAACTAGATTTTATTATTATTCAGTATTTCAGTCAGATACCATGAAAGTTAATGGAACAAGATATATAACGGATTTGAGTGATATATCAACTTAGTAGTAGAATAGCTGAATAATAAACTAGCGGAATTAATAGAATGAGTAAATTAAAAACTGAATAAACTTAAAATGCTAAAAGCTAGTGGGTTTGAATAGTCTACAGTTTTTTCATGTTTTCACGTTTTTCATGTTTTTAAAACGTGATTCCGCTATTAAAAATATAACTAAAAAAACAAAAAACGTGGTTAATCTACCAAAACTAGCTTTTCAATGTTTCACAATTATTCAACCAATATTTTATTCAGTTCAGTTCGTTACGCTAACAAGTTTTCAGTTATTCCGCTATTGTGTTATTCATCTGATATACCAGACAGACCCAATGGGTTTGAATGGTATGCAGCTTTTTCACGTTTTCACGTTTTGGAAACTTGATTCTGTTATTTTTTACCATTCATGTTATTCATCACGTTTTCACGTTTTTTTTATATTTTTGAAACGTGATTCCGTTAGCATGTTAAAAATATAACTAAAAAAAACAAAACGTGATTAATCTACTAAAAGTAGCTTTTCAGCGTTTCACAATTATTCAGCTAAAATATTATTCAGTTCAGTTCATTCCGCTAGTAATTTTTCAGTTATTTCGCTATTCTATTATTCATCTGACATACCAGTCAGACCCAATATCTATTAGATGAATAGATTTTTTCTCTAAACTAGTTATAAATTGAAAACATGCTGGATGAATTGAAAAATAACATATTAATTTTCACTTTTCTTATCATTCAATGCTTATTATTGTTAATGGTATGTATTTAGTGAAATCGCATTTTCAAAATATTCAATCCCAACAATTTGTTTGTAGAGGGTGGGAATGTTAAATTTTATACATTTTTGAGTTATGACCGAAGTTATAGAAATAACCTAGAGAGTGGAAAAACCGAAAAGAAAATCTAAAAACAAAACCAATGTTACAAAAAGAAAAAAAAAATCAAAATAAAAGCTAGGCGAATACTAGAGCCGGTCAACAGATTCCTGAGATTAACACCAATTTCGAAAATCTACATTTGGAATTTTGCACTTGTAATTCTTAAAAACTCGTGTCCTCATCATTGTTGCCATGAGCAATCCGCCTCGAGGCCAGCCCTCAAACTGTAAAGAGAAAAGAGCCTACAGCTTCTCCGAGGACAAGCTCAACATGTTTATCAATAGCTGAATTTTATTTTAATCTAATATTTGGAGTAAGTGCAGTCCATAGATTGATTCTCTCTGAATATTTAAATGGGCCAAAAGCAATGATTCATATCTATGTGACCAAATGAAAATGGTTTAAATAATTTCACGCTTTAGGAGAATCAATATTTGGTCTAGATCTAGAAGCAATTCCTTCTCAAATAGAAACCACTAGACCACCACCATTTTGTTTGTTTGTTTGTTTTTTTTTGTATGAAAGTTTAATCAAAATTATTCCTCAAACTCTATAGTTCCAACAAATACATATACCTTTCATGGAACATACCGAACCAATCATAACGAGTTGAGCAACGATGTAATAAGTTTCGAGTTCTTGCTCTGATTTCTTTCGCATTGTGTTTGTTTGCCACTTTTCCCATCTCTTTCTATGATTTTTTTTTTGGTGAATGATTGGAGAGTTACGTCTCCATACTTATTAAAAACAACCAACAAACTACATCCGAACATTCCTCATCGTAGTTGTGCCTATAACATCATCGGACATTATCGAAACAATCTCATCAGGAGGATCCTCTCGCAAATGAAACCGAAAGGTAAAGAGAAGGCATGATTCGCTAACCCATCAGCCAGCCGATTCGCCTCTCTATAGACATGAGACACTCGAACTAACCAGTCTCTTGAGAAGAAGCCATGGCACAAGCGTACCAGAAAAGATAGAGGATGAGTCGCATTGATCCCTGCTGTCAGAAAGTTCACCACTATCGCCGAGTCAACCTCTAACTCCACTCGACCCACTCGCTGCTCCCACGCAATATATAGACCGTAGTACACCCTCCATAGTTCAGCTAAAGGAGCTGAGCAAATCCTAATATTCAGGGCAAAACCCCCTTGCCCATCTCTTTCTATGATTTTTTTTTTGGTGAATGATTGAAGATTTACGTCTCCATACTTATTAAAAACAACCAACAAACTACATCCGAACATTCCTCATCATAGTTGTGCCTATAACATCATCAGACATTATCGAAACAATCTCATCAGGAGGATCCTCTCGCAAATGAAACCGAAAGGTAAAGAGAAGGCATGATTCGCTAACCCATCAGCCAGCCGATTCGCCTCTCTATAGACATGAGACACTCGAACTAACCAGTCTCTTGAGAAGAAGCCATGGCACAAGCGTACCAGAAAAGATAGAGGATGAGTCGCATTGATCCCTGCTGTCAGAAAGTTCACCACTATCGCCGAGTCAACCTCTAACTCCACTCGACCCACTCGCTGCTCCCACGCAATATATAGACCGTAGTACACCCTCCATAGTTCAGCTAAAGGAGCTGAGCAAATCCTAATATTCAGGGCAAAACCCCCTTGCCAAGTCCCATCAATATCACACAAACCCCCCCCCAGTTGCAGAACCCGGGTTACCACATGACGCTCCATCAATATCACCATTTGGTTTGTTTGTTTTTTTTTTTGTATGAAAGTTTAATCAAACTTATTCCTCAAACTCTATAGTTCCAACATATATATATGCCTTTCATGGAACATACCGAACCAATCATAACGAGTTGAGCAACGATGTAATAAGTTTCGAGTTCTTGCTCTGATTTCTTTCGCATTGTGTTTGTTTGCCACTTTTCCCATCTCTTTCTATGATTTTTTTTTTGGTGAATGATTGGAGAGTTACGTCTCCATACTTATTAAAAACAACCAACAAACTACATCCGAACATTCCTCATCGTAGTTGTGCCTATAACATCATCGGACATTATCGAAACAATCTCATCAGGAGGATCCTCTCGCAAATGAAACCGAAAGGTAAAGAGAAGGCATGATTCGCTAACCCATCAGCCAGTCGATTCGCCTCTCTATAGACATGAGACACTCGAACTAACCAGTCTCTTGAGAAGAAGCCATGGCACAAGCGTACCAGAAAAGATAGAGGATGAGTCGCATTGATCCCTGCTGTCAGAAAGTTCACCACTATCGCCGAGTCAACCTCTAACTCCACTCGACCCACTCGCTGCTCCCACGCGATATATAGACCGTAGTACACCCTCCATAGTTCAGCTAAAGGAGCTGAGCAAATCCTAATATTCAGGGCAAAACCCCCTCGCCAAGTCCCATCAATATCAACCCCCCCCCCCCCCCCCCCCCCCCCCCCCCCCCCCCCCCCCCCCCCCCCCCCCCCCCCCCCCAGCCCCCCCCCCCCCCCCCCCCCCCCCCCCCCCCCCCCCCCCCCCCCCCCCCCCCCCCCCCCCCCCCCCCCCCAGTTACAGAACCCGGGTTACCACATGACGCTTCTTTAACAAAACGCACACGGTCCTTACATTTCGCATTTGATCCATTCACGTTTCTGCATCTCCACTTCCACCCCCACCGGCTGGCTACAGCTAACAGAGAAGACCAGGGGCAACCTCCCACCTCCGAGTTATCTCCCAGGTTTTCATACATCCACTCAAACAGAGACTGCGGAAAAAAACGTCCTCACTTACTTGGTGGAACAACACGGTACCAGATCCCCACCATTGTCAGGCAATCTCGTAGTACATGGATGATGAATTCTTCTCCTCCGCGACATACTTGGCCTAGTCATGTGTTACTCATATGGCGTTTTTGTCTCTCCATATTTGTCATGATGACCTAATTCACAACAAGCAAAATAAACACCTTAACCCTCTCTGTTGCCGTCACTCGCCAAACACGGTCAAACAAGCTCTTTAAGTTTTGCCTCTGGACTTCTTGCCTTGTTATATATGTGTATGCAGATTTCACCGTGAAGCTCCCATCTAGATTTTGTCCTCATGTGATTCTATCTTTTGCACCGGTGACGTTGTCCACAACAGCCGCCATTAATTGTAACTTAACATGAACAGAGATATATGGGTCTATACTTGGCATCCACCATCCTATACAATTCCTCCATAAGTCGCATACTTTAGCATTAAGCAGTTCCTCGAGGTTCTCTCTCTCCACCAGGTCTAATAACAATACTCTCAGAAGCCATTTCTCTCTCCAGAAGTTGATTATACGACCATTCCCAAGTATCCAGCTTAAGCCAAGAATAACGACCTCCTTCAGTACCACCACCACACTTCTCCATGTTGATGACCCAATCTTTTTAAGTATCCACCATGAAGGCTTATAAATATCCATCATTTTGTATTTACTGTGAAGCACTCTAACCCAAAGACTCGAGTTATCATGCAAAAGCCTCCATTCTAATTTTCCAAGCAGTGATTTATTCATGTTCTCTACTCTACGAATCCTCAAGCCTTCCTCACTCTTCGGCATATACACCCTGTCCTAAGCAATAAGATGTTGCTGCTTCTGTTCAGTGTCATCATCCATATAAAAGTCCTCAATATTCTGTCAAGTCGTAAGAGAACAGACTTACCTAGAGATATCGTACTCATTGTATGCACCAATCGAAAGATGTCACAATATAAAAGCCATCTCTTTCTATGATGATCACGTCTATCAATATACAAAAGTCCGATGGTAATAAAAATGATTTAAGTATATTATTTTTAAATTGAATTTAAAATGATTTGAATTTTTAAAATGAGACAAGATTAATAATCATATTCCAATCGAAAGATGTCACAACCTCGAGTCGTTGATCCTTTAACCAACCCACCCCATAGTACTCTAATAGCTTACCAAAACCACCATGAATCTTTCTCCTTCCTCTTCTTCATCATCGCCGGTTTCACACCGGTTCCCGATTCTCTCTCATCGCCGTCCCTAATTTTGGCTCCCCTCGTCGCTTTCCGGGAGATGAAAGCGTCCGTTTCCGCTCTTCACACCGGAGAAGCAAATACCCTGAGGAGTTATTAATTAGGGTTTTCGTTTGAGTGGCGAATTATCCTTCACGGATTTGGAGCTTTCGTCCTATTATGGCGGAAGAGAATCGCAAGGATCGAGGCGTTTCGTCTGAAGTCGCGATTCCTTCCGGTTTGAACCGGATCAGGACTCGGTTAGCTCCGTCAGGTCCGAGACCCGATGATTCCGCCGATACCACCGTGACGAAGCCTCCTTTTAACCGTAAGCAGAAAAGTATTGTTCCTCGTGGACATGGCAAAACCTCTTCGAAGCAAGGTTTTGATTTCTCTTTGTTTTCCTCCGAGAACGTTTTTGAGGGAGACGCACTGATTTATGTATTTTTCGAGTAGAATCATGGTGGAGTTATATGATAAACTAGAAAATTAACAGGTTATTTTGTACTGTTATAATACGATCATAGTATTTTTTTTTTTCGATCTTGGCTTCAGAGAAACAAATTGCTAGAAATCGAAAAAATCCCAGAAATTCTAGAAAGATATGATGTTCTTTCTGGTGATCACTCGTTTTTAACTCTATGTTTCAGAGCATAAAGGAAAAAGGTTGTCGAGGTGGCTTGCTTCATATAAACCCAAGCATTCAATTCCAAAAGATGGTTGCTCGAGTAGTGAGGTAAAGAGTGGTTTTGATTCGGATTTTCTTTAAAAAGATTTCGTTGGGGGCATTGGATTTGAAATTAACAGCATTGGTTTGGTGATAGGATGTGAACTTAAAAGTCAAGAACTCTCGTAAGGATGAGGAGAGGATGGTCAAGAATTCTGAAACTAACCTTTCCACTTGCAAGGTGTCAATGGGTATAAAGAGCTTTTCACATGAATTAGGGCCAAGGGGTGGTGTTCAAACTCCTAACCCTCGTCCACACAGCTACAACGATCTGAAGGTTTGATTGTTTGGTTTAGTCATATTATAAATTTCTTTAATTGAGTTTGAAGATGTCAAGCAAGGTTTTGCAATACAAATGATAAAAAATTCTCAGGGTTGATTTATGTTTTTGTAATATTTTAAGAAATTGAAGTAAACTCTTTATGTCATATATAGCCACTCCAAGGACCATTTTTGGGGTATAATTATGTGAATTCGTGCTTATTTCAATTGCAATGGTATTCAGGAACTTCTTGGCTCACTTCACTCAAGATTTGACGTTGCTAAGGAGATTGTGGATAAGAAGCTGGATGACTTTGTCATAGATGTGGAAGACGCTATGGAGAAAATGGATCCATCATGTCCTGAAGATCGAGAAATGGCAGATGAGTTACTTAAGTTGGCTCAAGACTGTATAGAGATGACATCTGCACAACTTCGTGCTACTTGTGAATCCATTGTCCAGGACTTAACGAGGAAAAGGAAACAGTGCCAAGCAGGACTTGTGAAGTGGTTGTTTTCTCAGTTGCTTTTTATATTGACTCATTGTACAAGAGTTGTGATGTTTCAGAAGGAGACTGAGCCAATTGATGAGAATTCCTTCCGCAAATTTAAGGAATGTTTAGAAAGCATCCCTGCTCTGGAAACTAATTGGGTTTCGAATTCCAGAGTTGGTGATTCCGGTTCTGGTTATCCCAAGTATCAAAGGAATGAAGCTGGGAAAAAGTTCAAGAGACGGGACAAAGAATCTTTGGAGTCAGAGACAAGTTTCGGTTTTGGGATACCAGATGATCATAGCAATAATACTGCCAGAGAAGGTTATGCAGCTCCTAAACAGGAATTTCCATCTCAGAAACCCCAATTTGATAGTAAAGTGGTCGAACAAGGGTTTTATTCAAGTGACGAGCATCAAGATAAGATGCCAAATGAGCTTGGAAAATATTTTGGTGGCTCTGATTTTGTAATCTGCCGGATATGTGAGGAAGAAGTTACCCTCTTCCATCTGGAACCGCATTCTTACATATGTGCATATGCAGATACATGTGAAATAAATTGTTTGGATATTGATGAGCGCCTTTTGAAACTTGAAGAGATACTTGAACAGATAATTGATTCACGGAGCTTAAATTCCTTTACTCAAGCTAGTGGCCTGGAAAACTCAGTTTCGCAGAAATCTGGAGTTGCATCGGAAGGCTGTTCTCCCAAGGTCAATGAATGGCGGAATAAAGGTGTTGAAGGAATGTTTGAGGATCTGCATGAGATGGACACTGCCTTCATAGACGAGTCTTACACATATCCTATTAACCTGAAGAGCCATATAGGGGCCAAATTTTGCCATCATGGCACTTCATCGTCAACTGGTAGCATCACGTCAGTATCTTCAACAAATACCCCCAGAACAAGCCACTTTGACTCGTATTGGCTAGAGCGGCATAGTCCAGAACAAGAGGATCTTCAACTGGTTAGTTGTCTGTTTCCACTATACTCTCTTTTTAGGCAGATTAGGTATTGATTCGGCGTTAGATGTTGTTGTACTAGTTAGTTATTGTGCAGTATCGATTCTTATATATTTATTTTGTCATATCCTGATGAGATTTAGGAATATAAAGCATGTTATGTTGTTCTGTTCCGAGGGTCGTTAAATCCTTAATGTCTTTAATCAACAAAACTTCAGATGCTCAAACTTTTGAAATATTAGTTATGCCATTAATGGTTGAGAATTTCTCCTTTATTGTTTAGAACCTCTCTAGGTTTTAGTGAGTCAATAGCTTGAACTCCTTGTGATTCATGATTTTGTTACTTGTCCATGGGAGGTCTGCTCTCTATATCATATATAGATTGCATTTGTGTCTACCTGTTTCACTGATTTCTGTATAAATAGAATCATAATCTTTTCCTGCTTATATATTTTTTTTCCATCTTGCAGATGATGGACCTTTCTGATATTGCTCGCTGTGGAGCAAGCACAGATCTATCGAAAGAGGGGTCTTGTGACTATCTGCTTGCCTGCATGCAAGACATACAAGCTGTCTTGAAGCAGAGCAAGCTCAAAGCACTTGTTATAGATACTTTTGGGGGGAGGATCGAGAAACTTCTGTGGTAAATTCACTGTCTTATAAAAAACTAACTACAGCGCTCATCCTATAAGAATATTAACACTGGTCTTAAATGCAGCGAGAAATATATATACGCTTGTGAATTGATTTCTGATAAAAGTTCAACGGGCAACGGAAAAGAGAATGAAACTGTCTTGGAGCATGCATCGCAAGGTTCCTCAGTGGCTACTCCGCACTTGCTGCAGAAAGATAGGACAAGCATCGATGACTTTGAGATCATCAAACCAATAAGCAGAGGTGCCTTTGGTAAGGTCTTTCTTGCACGCAAAAGAACAACAGGGGACTTTTTTGCAATAAAGGTAGATGCATTTTATTTTCGCTTTGTTGCAGATGTGGTGTTTATTTTTCCTTCTGTAGTTTCTAATATGCGCAGTGCTGTGAAACCGTATATTTCAGTGAAAAGATTCAAAATGTAAATATTAGCTTAGAAGCAGCTGTGATGACCTCTATGGCTGTTAACTAATGAACAATAGATTTAACAGAAAAATACATGTTTGCAGAAATGTTGATACTAATGAAGCTCTGCGAAGACTTAAGTTAGACATAATTTCTCAGGATATACATTGAAGTTCTACTTTCTTGTTCAATTATACATTAGTATATTCTTCTTCGTATTTGTGGATATATTCAATTAATGTATGAGCTATGATTCTGTAAATCCTCTTTTTAGTCAACTAGTAACTTTTTAGTCCAATTTTAGAGAGCCTTGTCGTTAGTGCCATATTGTTTAAACATCCCAGAATGACAATACTCTTAGGATTGAATCCTTAGTTATGACATTTCCACTTGAAACCCTCATAGAAATGAATCAGGCTAGTAATTTTGGCTCCATATGTTGTCGTAATCTGACTCTCCATGTGCTAATCTTATTTAGCTCATATACAGGTACTCAAGAAGTTGGATATGATAAGAAAAAACGATATCGAGCGGATTCTGGAAGAGCGAAATATATTAATTACTGTCAGATACCCGTTTGTGGTAAGCGTTTCACGTCTTTGCTACTGTCCATTTATAATATTCTCTCCAAAGGCTGAATACTTGATTTTATCAATGCAGGTTCGATTTTATTATTCATTCACCTGCAGTGATAACCTTTACTTGGTAATGGAATATCTTAATGGCGGGGATCTATACTCTCTGCTTCAGAAAGTTGGCTGTCTTGATGAGGACATTGCTCGTATATACATTGCAGAACTGGTTAGTTGAAAGTTCATTTGAATCGAATACCTAAATGTGTTGAATTCCTGAAGACTAAGTTATCAATTGTTCAGGTTCTTGCATTGGAGTACCTCCATTCTCTGAAAATCGTGCATCGTGATTTAAAGCCTGATAATCTGTTAATAGCCTACAATGGGCACATCAAGGTCTGTTATTTAAAGCTTTCACGTACCTTAGTTCTTTCAGTAGAGGAATCAAATGAATTTTCCTCGATGCATACAAAAATTGATAAATATGAGTTTCTTATTTACTTGATAAAAAGAGAGTTCTATGCACTAAATATGCAAACACAGATTGTATGCGGATACTGTTTTTCATGCGGTTATTGAAATACTTTGTTCTGCTGTTCAACTAGCGAACTTATTGTTATTATCTTTGTCACCAGCTGACAGATTTTGGACTGTCAAAGATCGGTCTTATAAACAACACAATTGATTTATCTGGCCCTGAGTCAAATGCATCCCCAAGAAGAAATTCTTATCATTCTCAAAAGAGCCAAGAAGAAGAAAGAATTCGGCATTCAGCTGTTGGGACACCTGACTACTTGGCGCCAGAGATTCTTCTTGGAACTGAACACGGTTTAGATACAACCCTAAACATAGGCTTTTCTAAAGCACGAGGAAATTATATTTGTCTTCTTGGTGTTGCTTGCAGGTTATGCTGCAGATTGGTGGTCTGTGGGAATCATCTTGTTTGAACTGATAACTGGAATTCCACCTTTTACAGCAGCTCGCCCAGAGGTGCCTACAAATTTCAGTAATCTTGTTTTGTCCTGACTAGAATCTAGGTCTGGATCTGCTAGAAAGTTTTGAAGTCATAAAAGCCTAGTGGTATCATAATCATATGTTTTGGTAGTTGTAGTCAGACGTTCCTTAGGCATTTTAAACATTTAAATCACAGAAATGTGATCCATATTTTGGTATATAGGTATTTTTTGTCATTGTTGGGACTTAGTTGCTTCATTTCCAGATCACAATGACACTGAAAATTACAAGTTTTGTATTGCCTTCTTATAAAAAATTTGCTGAATGATTCATTTCTGGTCAGTTATATTGAGATGAGTTACACACAACCTAGTTTTCGATGAGTGTAGAATTTGTCACAGACTCACCTTTGTAACTTTGTAATTATGCTGTACAGATAATATTTGACAACATCCTCAACGGGAAAATGCCCTGGCCAGATGTGCCTGGTGAAATGTCATATGAAGCTCAGGATTTGATTAACAGGTCTGTTTTGAGGACTCTCATGTTTATCGAAGCAACATAATTAACACGTATCCTAGTATCTATGTATTGATTACCCACAAGCTGACTTTTACGCTTTAAACTTGCACATAAGTATTGTAATCATCTTATAATATAATGACTATATGGGTTTTGTTTTTTACTAGTTTCTTTCTCCCATATTCATATAGATTCATTGTTTTCTCCGTTATAGGTTTCTTGTCCATGAGCCAGAAAAGCGACTGGGGGCGAATGGGGCTGCAGAGGTTCCATCAATTTTCCCCTTTACTATTTATGAAAGCCACCGAATTGTGAAACAAAGGGATTCTAAAGGCATGAGGATTATTGTTGTTGTTGTTGTTGTTGTTGTTTCTGAGTAAACATTTCTTTTCTCATTTTCAGGTAAAGTCACATCCCTTTTTCGAAGGAGTTGACTGGGAGAATCTTGCTTTGCAAAAGGTAAGAACACATTTGATAGACAACTTATGCAATGAACAAGTGCTGGTTGACAGATGAAGAAAGCTTTTTCATCGAATCGGGTTTTGCGCTATTAGGTCTTCACGAATGCACACAATATGAATGAGAAGTTGGAATGTTCTTTTAAACTTTTGGCTGCTTTTTTCTTTTCTTGCTTTTTGGTAGGCTGCTTTTGTACCTCAGCCTGAGAGTATAGATGACACAAGCTATTTCGTATCACGGTTCAGTGAAAGGAGTTGCAGCGACTCTGAAACTGACAACAACAGCGAGTCAGATCCAAATTCAGGAGACGAGGTAAACATCTAGAAACTCGCATCCTTTTTTTATATCTTTGAGGACTTTACTTGTAATCATCGGATCTAAAGCAAATCCTGGTTATGTGGTTTTCTTTTAGTTGGATGAATGCACCAACCTGGCCAAGTTTGATTCTCCACCTTATTATCTCTCTCTCATTAACTTTTCTTTCAAGGTAAAAACCGCCACTTCCACTATTTCTTGTTATTAATTCACACTAAAGCAGCTAAAAGCCAAAACACAAATCCCAAGTTTACATTAATTGTTATTAAACTATACGATTTTGTTAGTAAAAAAGTATATAATGATGCAGAATTTGTCACAATTGGCTTCAATCAATCATGATGTGCTATTGCAAAAGGATCCAGCCAAAGGAGGAGGAGGAGGCTCACCTTTTAATAGCCATGGAACGTAGAGCGTTGCTACAACCGTCAAAGCTGGCCTTAATCCGCGGTTTGGTCTGGTTTGCGCCTGCCTTGACTGTTGTAGCTGCTGCTGCTGCGACTACTCTTCCTTCTATGCTGATATTGTTTACCTTAAGGTTTTGGGTAACTTTTTATGCGGTTGTCATAAAATCATTTGGAATTGTTTCAAATGCAAATCCCAAAACTAGTCGTGTGGCAACAACAATACACACACATAGAGCAGATATCTATAAGTACACATTTGTATAAGCTTTGTGTAAATTTGAGGTTGATGAAAATAAGAGGCTTGGTTACTTTATGGGCATCCCACTTCCTTAGCTCTTCGGTTTAATCAAAGAGAACTCATGTTGAATTGGACAAGATTAAAAGGTTACAAAGCAAGCGAACACACAAACACAAGTCCAAAAGATTTAAACAATAATCACAGATTCACAGCACTAACTAAAAGTCTTCAAATGATGATTGTTATTTTCCGGTAAAATCCTATAGAAATCAAACACAATTACTCCTTTCGGTGGTGGCTCTTGACGAGGACTATTACTAGTGTTGCCTCTTCTGTGAATCGGCAATGTTATTGTTCAAAATGGAATTACTTTGAGAGTTTGTATTTAAAATTTATAATTTTTCAATTTATTACCTAAATATTATAGGATGCATTGTCAATGTTGATTTTTATTATTCATTTCGTGTTGGACTTTGAACATGTGTTTTTGCATTTATAGTTTTGTTTAAAATTTTATTAAATTTGATTTAGAACAATATATTATATATTTAAAAATGTTAGTGAATTATAACATGCGATATATTGAAAAACTATTTTAAAATGATCGATATTTTTATCAACAAAGTTTTGATAAAAAATAATGATTAAACTATAAACATTTCAAAGTCTATGTAAGTTTTTTTTCTCAACAACCTCAGAGCATCCGTAATGGTAAACTTCATATTGGAGTTCTGAAGCATATTTTATATTAAATATATTATTAATTTAAGTTAAAAATTCTATTAGATTTTTTTGAGTTTTGAGACTTATATTGGAGAGATTCTATGAGGTTCTAAAAAAAATAACTAACATAACTAACAAATTAGATAATCGCTTTTCACCACTCTCTGAAGATGGTGATGCATCGAAATCGCTTCTTACTCTCTCATGGATTCCTACTAGTTAGAGTTTTGCTTCCATGACGATATCTACAAGGTCAATACGCCTAAAACCATCAGCATTTTAGATTAAGAAAGAACAATGCCTATTTTTAACAGCTCCATAAACACAGCCACGAAAACACATTAGACAGAGACTACAATTTACAACTTTTGTTGGTGGTACACAATTTAGCATCATCAAAAGATGAACTACACAATGAAAACAACAACAGAATCTTTTTGAAACCATGAGTCGATCAAAAGGGTAATAGACTCACGGTGGATTAAGTTTAACTTCAATCTTCACATGTTGTAAGGCAAAGACACACTCTTAGATTTGGTTTTGAGTTCCAATTCACAAACAACATACAGAATTTTGCCGATAAGAATACTCAGCTCCTAAGTTACTAATACATAATGAAGCCGTGATGGATTTTGAGATCATCACGTTATCTTCTTGGCAGAATTATAGCACAAAGTGATTGATAATTTCTCTAGATGCTTATTTACAATATATAGTACCACTGCGAATTCAAACCATGAACAACATAGAAGAAGCAAGCATGTTCCAGAATCATCATATGATCAAATTATTAAAATTTATGGTTTGATCCAAGTGAGCAGCACAAAAATATCAACTTGACCATGTTTCCCAGAAGAAACACAAACATATGCACCACAAAATTGAAGAGAAGACTCAATCAAGAGATGAAATTGAAAGAAGAAAGGAGTCGAAGAAAAACTCACGAGATGAAGTCAGCGAAGCTTCGACCTGCTCCTTCGTCACCCCCATCTCTCTCACTCTGCAACAATCTTTGGGAATATCACTTCCGTGGGATCACCTTTCCTGATCACCACGAATATCAAATCCCAGATTTGAAATCTAAATTTATCTCCCATGAATCAATTTTCTTCAAGCAAATCATAGATATCAATCAATTTGAGAATAAGCAGATTAATTTCAGAAGAGATTGAATCGAACCTTGGCGACTCGCTTGGACGTGCAGTGCATCGTCATACGACTCCAGATAGCCATTAGAGCTACGCCGAGGATAATCCCGAACAGAATCGCAGAAATCAGAGCCGCCATTACTGCCGGGAAAAGTAATCAAAGCGAGTCAGAGAAAAAGAATTCCATTGAACATTTTTAAACTAAAGCGAGCAGTAATTACCAGAGCCACCGTTACCGCCGGGAATAAATTGACGGTTCGAATTCCGTTGAGACGCATCAGAGCCAGAAATGGCGAATTTGCAGTCGGTTTGAGGTGAAAGCGTGATTAGTGATAGAGAATTTGAGAGGAACGACAAAGGAAGAAGAACTAGAGGTGGTGAATCCAAGAGAGAGGAGAACGAAGAAGAAGAAGACAAGAGGAAGAAGAGAAAACATTGGTTTTTGATAGGTTATTGGTGCCGTTAACCTTCATGAGGAAGAAGCAGAGATCGAGAGGGAGAAGAGCTCGAGTGGAGAAAGAAGCTGAAAGTGGCTAGAAGTGGTGAAGAAGAGCTGAAGGCAGGGGAAGTCTCTGTTTCATAAGGAGGCTTCGATAATAATATGACGTTTTACTATTCAATCGCATGTATAAACAATAAATCCGAGTTTAGAGTTTTATTATCTTACGAAGATCAAACATTAAATTATTTTTTTTTTCTTATTTCTTTTATCTCTTTTATCTTTAATCTATTTTTTGTTTCGAGTTATCAGTATTACTTTTGGTAGGATTTCAGTCTTATCAACTAGTGCTTTCGTTGAGAGTGTGTGAGTGAGAAATGACGATTCCGACGACGACCAACACAGATCCCAGATCAGCGTCAAATGAACTCGAGATGAACGTCCCTGAGACCCCGACTCCAGCTTTAACCACCGAACAACACCTTGAGAAGCGTGACAAGGAAATGATGTGAATGAAGCATGCTCTAGGTGAAATACTGCAAAAGTTGGAGTACGCCACACCGGGAGCTTCAGCGTTAGAGTTCGCGAGCCCTATCTCGGCAGCAACGGCGCAAGCGGCACCCTTTACGCCTGAATCTCGTCCCGAACATCACCGAGGGGAAGGGATTTTACCCCGACCTAATGACGAGCTACAGATGAGGCCCCCTGAAGGGTTTCCCTTTCTGACGGCGCGTGAGCTGCGTGTAGAGCTACCCTAAGCTCCCACGGAGGTTCCGTCCAAGCGAGTGGATTTGCCGGCGTTCGAAGGACACAACCCAGAGGATTGGCTGTTCAGAATCGAGAAATGCTTTAACTTGAATAAGGTTTCCGAGTCCGAAAAGCTAGACCTCACTGTTACCTGTCTCACGGGAGTAGTGGTGACTTGGTGGAGAGGTGCACATGAACAAGAAAGGATCGTGAACTAGAGGGATTTCAAGGACAAGTTCAAAATCCGTTTCAAGCAAAACTGGTGCTGTTCCTCTGTGGACCACTTGTTCTGCATTTCGCAGAAGAGTAGCGTGGAAGAGTTTCATGAGTGTTTCGAAGCCCTGACAGTAGAGTTACCTCACGTCCCTGACGATGTGCTCGAGTCAGCGTTCCTGAGGGGGCTACGGAAGAGCTTGCGCGACCAAGTGGTGCGTTGTAGACCCGCGAACGTGGCGGACATAGTGGATATCGCGAAGCTGATTGAGTCTCAGGAAGGGGATCAGTCAAGCTACTTCAATCGTAATGTGCAAAATACTACCAACAGAGGATCAAACTTTAGCTATACCAAGGATAACAAGAAGGCAGGGCCAAGCACTAACACTCGAACCCCGGTGCCGTGTCGTTACTGCAGTGAAATGTGGGTACCAGGGCATATGTGTAAGCAGAAGCTCAGAATTGGCAGAAGGAGGGGAGCCAGACATTATCAACAAAGAGGAAGTAGTCGAGCAAGGGATAGTAGAATCAGAAGGGGGACATCAAGAACTTGTCACGTTGTCGCTCCAAGCTATGGCAGGAGTGACGGACACATGCTCGATGCATATGAGGGGTAAGATTGATGAGAAGGAGGTGATTGTTCTTATAGACTCGAGAGCAACGAGCAACTTCATACAAGCTTCGTTGGTCTCTGAGTTGGGGTTACTTCAGACGGATACACACAAGTTTGGCATTCGAGTGGGGCATGGTCAGATCATCACTAGTCAAGGGCGTTGCTCAGGAGTATCTCTTGACATCCAAGGAGTGGAAATAGTCGAAGATTTCCTCATATTCGAGTTGGGAACTAATGATGTAGTGCTCGGGTATTCATGGCTCGCATCATTGGGGGACACAAGAGTAAACTGGTGGAGAAGTACATTAAGTTGAAAGATCGGTGAGCACTGGGTGGCTATCGCAGGAGATCCGGACCTGAGCAAGGAGTAGATTTCCCTTAACTCCATGGTGAAGGTGATCAAAAAGAATAGAGAGGTATACTTACTGGAACTAACCTCCCTCTTCGAAGGCTCGGAAAAGTCCTCAAAAAGAAATGGTTTCAGAGGAAGTTTGACAAGTTCTGGAGGAATATCAAGCCGTATTTCAGATGCCACAAGGACTGCCGCCAGTTCGCAACAGGGAACACGCTATTACCTTGCAGGAAGGCATAGGGCCCATCAACATCAGACCTTACCAGTACTCGTATACGCAGAAGAATGAAATAGAAAGGCTGATATAGGAGATGTTGGAAGCCCGCATCATTCAGCCTAGCATCAGCCTTTATTCCAGCCCGGTTCTATTGGTGAAGAAGAAGGATGGTGGATCGCGCTTCTGCATAGACTACCGTGCACTCAGCAAGGCGACGATTCCCGATCATTACCCCATCCCCGTGATTGAAAAGCTTCTAGACGAGCTTCATGGGGCCACAATATTCTCCAAACTTGATCTCAAATCAGGATATCACCAGATCCGGATGAAGTGCAGCGATGTGGAGAAGACGGCTTTCAAAACCCACCAAGGGCATTATGAATTCCTTGTGATGCCCTTTGGCCTCACCAACGCACACTCGACCTTCCAAAGTGTGATGAATGACCTCTTCCGTCCTTATCTCCGTAAGTTTGTCCTCGTCTTCTTTGATGACATCCTCATCTACCGCATGAGCATCGAAGCACATCTAGAGCACTTGAAGATAGTGTTGGGGCTCATGAAGCATCACCGCTTCTATGCGAATGTGAAGAAGTGCTCATTTGCTCTCACGAAAGTGGCTTACTTGGGACATCGCATTTCCGGGAAGGGAGTAGCAGCAGACCCCGAGAAAATTAGAGCGATGGTTAGTTGGCCTATTCCCAAGACCGTGACAGAGTTGCATGGGTTTCTAGGTCTCACGGGCTACTACAGATGGTTCGTGAAAGGTTATGGAATCATAGCAAGACCTCTCACGGAGCTACTCAAGAAGAAGGCTTTTAAGTGGTCTGAGGAAGCAAAGCAAGCCTTTCAAAAGCTCAAGGAAGCTGTAACTACACTTCCCGTGTTGGTTTTACCCGACTTCTCTCAGAGCTTTACCATTGAAACGGATGCCTCAGGAGCTGGAATCGGGGCAGTTTTATCTCAAGGAAGGAGACCCATAGCTTTCCTCAGTCAAGCCTTTTCTGCTCAAGGAAGAGTCAAGTCAGTATACGAGAGGGAATTACTGGCCATTGTTAAGGCGGTGTCAAAGTGGAAGCATTACCTCACAGGCAAAGAGTTCATCATAAAGACTGATCAGAGGAGCTTGAAACACTTGTTGGAGCAGAAGGCAGTCTCTTCCGTGCAGCAGAGATGGGCAGCTAAACTCATTGGTCTGAACTATCGCATCGAATACAAACCTGGATTTGAAAATAGAGTTGCAGACGCCTTGTCAAAGAGACCTTTGGTTGAAGAGTTACATCAATTACAACTCACTGCTCCTCTCTCCCTGGATAAGAAACTACTCGTCGAGCAAATTCAAGGGGATCAGGAACTGATGGCTATTGTGAAGAGCATCACAAAAGGTGAGAAGCTTTACTCTGAGTATGAGGTTAAGTACGGGCTCTTGTACAAGGAAGGTTGTTTGGTGATTCCACGGGGTTCTGCCGTGATTCCGTCATTGCTGGAACAGTTCCATTCCAGTGCTATTGGGGGACACGAAGGAGCTTTAAAGACTTACAAGCGCCTGAGGTTGTATGGAAAGGAATGCGTAAGGATGTCGTGGAATTCATACGGGGCTGTCAGGTTTGCCAGGAAAACAAATACGCTACACTCTCACCAGCAGGGTTGTTATCTCCGTTATCCATTCCAAAGCAGATTTGGGCAGATATCAGTCTGGATTTCGTCGAAGGGCTCCCGATTTCAAAAGGATTCAGCATGATATTGGTAGTGGTGGACAAGCTGAGTAAGTATGGGCATTTCATTCAGCTGAAACACCCCTTCACTGCCAAGACTGTAGCGGAAGCCTTCATCTGAGAAATTGTCAGGCTTCACGGGTTCTCGGAGACAATGGTATCAGACCGTGATAGAGTTTTTTTAGCAGTTTTTGGACAGAGTTGTTCAAGCTCCATGGTGCTGCGCTCCACAAAAGCACAGCATACCACCCGCAGACCAATGGTCAGACCGAAGTGGTGAACAGGTGCGTAGAAACTTATGTTCGTTGCTTTGCAGGAAGGAGACCAACCTCGTGGGTTCAATGGCTGCCGTGGGCTGAGTATTGGTACAATACTTCGTACCACTCCTCAAGCAAGTGCACTCCCTTTTTGGCGGTTTACGGAAGGGAACCTCCAAAGCTACTAAGGTATGGAGACACACCCTCTGCTAATGCACAAGTCGAGGATTTGTTGAAGGACAGAGACAGTTTGTTGGTGGAGCTACGAGAACCCAACTTAAAATGGTGAAAAGAGCTAACAAGCACCGCAGAGATATGGAACTCTCAGTGGGAGATTGGGTCTACTTGAAACTCCAGCCTTACCGACAGAAATCCGTGGTGCAACGCAGAAATGAGAAGCTCGCACCACGGTTCTTTGGTCCATATCGGGTGTTAGCAAAGGTGGGGCGTGTGGCTTACAAGCTCGAGCTGCCAAAACATAGCAGCATACATCCGGTTTTTCATGTTTTGCAACTCAAGAAGGCAATCAACATCTCTCAGCAAGCACAGGAGCTTCCCTCAATCATCAGTCCAGCCTTGGAGTGGGTCACTGCACCAGAGGAGTTTCTCGATGCTCGCAGAGCAGACTCCAGTGGCGAAACAGAGGTATTGGTTAAGTGGAAGGGGCTGCCTGCTTTCGAAAACACGTGGGAGAAACTTGTGGATTTGGCAGGCCAGTTTCTGGACATTAACCTTGAGGACAAGGTTGCTTCTCTACGGGGGAGTATTGATAGGTTATTTGTGCCGTTAACCTTCATGATGAAGAAGCAGAGATCGAGAGGGAGAAGAGCTCGAGTGGAGAAAGAAGCTGAAAGTGGCTAGAAGTGGTGAAGAAGAGTTGAAGGCAGGGGAAGTCTCTGTTTCATAAGGAGGCTTCGATAATAATATGAGTTTAAATGATGTCGTTTTACTATTCAATCGCATGTATAAACAGTGAACCCGAGTTTAGGGTTTTATTATCTTATGAAGATCAAACATTAAATTAT